AACCCCCCAAACCCCCCCAAAAAAAAAAAAAAAAACCCCCCTAAAAACTCAGAGAAAAACCCTAAAAAAAATCCCCGACGAGCCCGGGCGGAGCTCCCGGGGCTCCCCTCACCTGTCCAGGAGCGGCTGCATCTGCTGCAGGCGCTGCGGCGGCGCGAGCACGGCGCCCTGCAGGGCCCCGCCCAGCGCGGGGGGCGGCAGCGTCAGGAAGCCCAAAACCTCGCGGCCGTAGACGGGGCTGAGGCCGCAGCGCAGCTCGTTCAGCCGCAGCAGCCGCTCCAGCCGCTCCGCGCGGCCCCGCGCGCGCCGCGACTCCAGGGACTCCTGCGGGCACCGCGAGAAGGGTCGGGACCACAACCCGGGGGGAACCGGGCTGGAAACGGGCAAAACCTGCTCGGAAATCCCACTAAAAACGGGCCCGGGAGCCTCAGGAAACCGCGCTAGAACGGCCCCCCAAAAAAAAAAAACCAGCAATTCGCCAAAACGCCAGGATTCCCCAGGAAAATCCGTTGGGAAGAAATCTCCCCTAAAGACACCAAAAAATCCCCCCAAATTCACCCTGAAAACCCCAAAATCGGCCCCAGGTTTGCACTGGAACGCCCCCGGAGTGCCCCCGAATGGGGAGAAACGCCCGAGATTCCCGGGATAAAAACTGATGGAAAAAACGGGAAAAAAATTCCCTTAAAATCACCCAAAAATGTCCCAAAAACTTGTCAGAAAAGCCTCCAAGCGAAACGCCCCAAAAACGGCCCTGGGAGCCCCAAATCTTCAGCATTTCAGCCCAAACTCCTCCCCCACCCTCAGGACCCCCCAGATTTTCCCACCCCCTCCCCAAAATCCACCCGAGCCCCTCCCACCACGATCTTCACCACCCCCGCACTGTTCACCAGCGGCGCCGGCACTGCCGGGAGAGCGGAGAAACGGGATGGGAACGGGGAAAACGGGATGGGAACGGGAAAAACGGGATGGGAACGGGAAAAACGGGATGGGAACGGGGAAAAACGGGATGGGAACGGGGAAAACGGGATGGGAACGGGAAAAACGGGATGGGAACGGGGAAAACGGGATGGGAACGGGAAAAACGGGATGGGAACGGGGAAAATGGGATCAGAGAGGGGAAAATGGGATCAGAGAGAGGAAAATGGGATCAGAGAGGGGAAAATGGGATCAGAGAGAGGAAAATGGGATCAGAGAGGGGAAAATGGGATCAGAGAGGGGAAAATGGGATCAGAGAGGGGAAAATGGGATCAGAGAGGGGAAAATGGGATCAGAGAGGGGAAAATGGGATCAGAGAGGGGAAAATGGGATCAGAGAGAGGAAAATGGGATCAGAGAGGGGAAAATGGGATCAGAGAGAGGAAAATGGGATCAGAGAGGGGAAAATGGGATCAGAGAGGGGAAAATGGGATCAGAGAGGGGAAAATGGGATCAGAGAGAGGAAAATGGGATCAGAAAGGGGAAAATGGGATCAGAGCCGGAGCCCGGCCAGCCCTGGAGCAGCCGGGGGGGGCAGGAGGGTTCCCAGAGATTTTGGGTTATTTCTGAGGGGTCCCCAGAGTTTCTGGGGATATCCCCGGGACTCCTGGGATGTTGCGGGGGGATCCCAAGATTTTTGGGATATCTGAGGGAGACCCCCAGAATTTTTGGGATGTTTGGGTGTCCCCAGATCGCTCTGGGGGGTCCCAGGGGGGTTTCGGGTGTCCCACCCCTCCCCCCCCCTTACCTTGCGCGGCGGCCAGGGGCAGCCCCAGGTGGGGGGGGGGCTGGGTGGGGGTCCCCGCCCCTCCCCCCGCGGCCGGGGGGGGTCCCACAGGTGCCAGAAGCGTCACCTGTGCCGGGGGGGCCAGCAGGTGCTGCGCGCCGCCCGCCGCCAGCAGGTGCACCACGTTCCCTACGGACACGGGAAAGACTTCCCAGGTTTTCCGGAATCTTCCCCTCAAAAAAATCCCCCCAAAACCACCCAAAGCCCCCTTGAAAAACCAGGTAACCCCCCCAAAATTTCTAAAAATCGCCCCAAAACCACCCAAAGCCCCCTTGAAAAGCCAGGTAACCCCCCCAAAATTTCTAAAACTCGCCCCGAAACTCTCAATTTTCCCCAAACCCCCCCAAC